GGGCGAAAAGCAAGGAATAACCGGTGCGGCTGAATCGAGGTGCCAGCAGGAGACGCCTGCCCAGAGCTGGTCCCTGCCTCCATGAGTGGCCGGAGTCAGAGACGGGCGGACAAGTGGGGGGTGGGGCAAAGGCTGTCTGTGCTCTCAACGGGTGTCCGTGGCTGCTTCGAGCGTTGGCGACGATCGGATGAAGTCAGACTTCTGGAAAATGCTTTGCAAGCGATCAAGGAGCACGCGAATGATCACCGTTATCAGTGGCACCCTCTACCATTCTTTTGTCCGGGATTCCCCTAATTACAAGAGGCCTCTGGAGTGGCCCGTGACGGAGGCTTATGTCAGATACTAGCATTCCTGAAATGACTCATGTGGTGACCTACGCCTCCTGCGTTGCCTGGGACTTTCTGCGGTTTCAGCGCCGAGAGTCCCCAAGTCGTGGGGGCCGGTCACCCTCGCTGCAGAGGGGGGCACACCCTGGAAGGAGGGCAGTGGGGATACTCACCGATGAGAGGCGACAATGCCTCTCGCGCCATGCCCACCCCCACGGCTCCCACCCCGCTCAACCCGCTGCCACGTCTGAGCGGATCTGTGGCCAGTTCAGGAGGGCCGTTACGTTTTCGCTAAGAATCAAAGATTCCATTTTTTTTCCTCCCTTCAATAAGCCCTGATGGTTCGTCCTCAGACATCGTAGGAAACTCGGGGGGCGGCGGGGGTGGGGGACGTAAAGAAGCTAGCTTTAATTCACACATAACCCTATCACCCAGAAATAAAACCCTGGACGTTTTAAGCATATTTCTTTCCAGATGTTTCCTATGCCTTTAGAAATACCTCTCACAAAGTGGTTTATGATGCCCATAGACAAAGGGCTAAGTTAACATATGCACACACCCCCATATCTTTTCTACACAAAGGAGTCCTAGGATCTCAGAGCAGGAGAGCCTCCCTCCAGCCCAATTCCTGAGTGTTATAGATGAAGAAATAACTGGGGCCACGTGACTAACAAAGCCTCTTCACCCCAGTGGTTTTCCTGACCCTCAGGAGGGAGAGGGCCACCGTGTCTCTGGGAGAACAGGCCGGCGACCCCAGGAGTGGCTCGGGATTCCTGCAATGTGGCCCATTCAGGACGTCATAATTAACCACCGTAAATATCACTTAATAGCTAACATGGCAAACAGCCTGCTCACAGGGAGAGAACGCACGTGAAGTGGACTGGAAATGACTTTCTCTCTTCCCTCTCACATCAGCCATTAATTTCCTTCCTATCGGATGCCTCGGGCCAACACAAACAAAACTAAACTTGACAGGGATAAATGTGAAGTCCTTAGGAATAGACACTCCACTCAAGAAAAAACAGGTTGGGGGAACGTGAGTCAATTCTTAAGGAAAAACTCCTGGGAGCCTGAGTCGACACCAGGTCCCATCAACAGAAGCATAGAGTCCAGAAGAGAGGAGGGGACAGCTCCACTGTGCTCTGAAACATTGGGCTCTGAAACATGGGAGCTGTGCTTCTGGGCATCCAGAGTTGGAAGCTGACCCAGAGCAGGGAGCCAAGCTAGAGAAGACATCACTGGAGACATCAGTGAAGACACGATTGAAGGAACTGAAGATGTTGGATGTGGAGAAGATGTTCATTCAGGGAAAATAACCCAAATTCTTGACTCTGGGGAAGGGAGCAATCTCTTTCACTGTCCGCGTACCAAAGACAGGCGGCGCCTTCTTCTCCACAGCCCCCCTTCTTTAGACCAGGGGTGGGGTCAAGCTTCCTGCCTGTTAATAAGGTGTGGCTGGGGAAGCATCTAGTGCCAACTGTTGGCAGCTGGTAGGGCATCCCTTGTCCTCAGCTTTGGGCCTCACCTGCCCATCCTGGGCAGCTGGCAAGTAGTTTCGCTTCCATCCGGTAGGACACAATTCTTCCCTTCAGTGATTTGAGGGGCCAGTGGATGGAGTTTTATGGAGGTGGGTGATCTTTCAGGAACTTCAACACTAAAGCTGTTGAAAAATGGAATGCCCTGGCGGGGCGCCTGGGTGGCTCAGTCGGTTAAGCATCCTACTTCGGCTCAGGTCATGATCTTGTGGTCTGTGAGTTCAATCCCCACGTCGGGTTCTGTGCTGACAGCTCGGAGCCTGGAGCCTGCCTCCGATTCTGTGTCTCCCTCTCTCTCTGCCCCTCCCCCCCTCGAATAAATAAACATTACAAATTTTTTTTTTTTAAATAAAGTCGACATGGGGCACCTGGGTGGCTCAGTCGGTTGAGCGTCCGACTTCGGCTCAGGTCACGATCTCACGGTCCGTGAGTTCGAGCCCTGCGCCGGGCTCTGGGCTGATGGCTCAGAGCCTGAAGCCTGCTTCTGATTCTGTGTCTCCCTCTCTCTCTGTCCCTCCCCCGTTCATGCTCTGTCTCTCTCTGTCTCAAAAATAAATAAAAACGTTAAAAAAAATAAAAAAAAAATAAAATAAGGTCGACAGTAGCCTCGTTCAGGGCCCCCCTCCCCCCGGATTCAGTGTGACCTCGTCTTAACTTGATTACATCTTCAAGACCCTGTTTCTAACTAAAGGCACATTCACAGGTACCAGTGGTTAGTATTTCAACACATCCTTCGGGATGGGGTGGGATATAATTCAACCACAGTGATGCCCATGCCTTCAGCGTGTGCATAAGAGCTGGGTGTGGAAGGAAGGGAGGAGAGAAGAAAGGAAGGGGAAGGAGTTTATTAGAAGAGTGAGACTTGCATGCATGTATTCAATGTACCTCTGAGCACAGTTGTATGTACATGTGATCGACAGCGTGTGCAAACAGCCCCAAGAAAGGGATTGCACGGTATAGCCGAACTGATACTCCGTAACTATGTCCGTAACTATGGATGGCTATGCAGCCACTGAAAAGAATATGTCTTAAATAACAGGCAATATGTTGGACTACGGCTTACAATTTCTATCCAATGCAAAATATCCCTCCTAAATGTAGAGTTTGATTTCAGCAAAATTGAAGGGACATTTGGAGCCAGGGCCTCTGTATGCAAGCTAACAGTTCAAAACCTGAGTTTTGCTTTCCGATGGAATATATAAATATATTTCTTGCCTCATTTCTGCCAAAGCATATTTCTCTTCCACATTATCAGTGTTGGAGCAAGCTTTATTTCCCTAGGCTCTTTAGTATTTCTCTCTAGGGTTTTCAGCAACTGTTGGATGAGTATCAATTTATTTTTTTTTTATGAAAAATAGACAGACGTTCGGGCACCTGGGCGGCTCAGCCTAGCATCCAACTTCAGCTCGGGTCATGATCTTGTGGTTGGTGGGTTCGAGCCCCGCATCGGGCTCTGTGCTGACAGCTCGGAGCCCAGAACCTGCCTCAGATTCTGGGTGTCCCTCTCTATCTCTGCCTCTCCCTGGCTTGTGCTCTGTCTCTCATAAATAAACATTAAAAAAATTTTTTTAATACACAAAAGTTTTTTTTTTTTAAGTCCAATCTATAGGCTCTGACCTGGAAAGATTTTTGTATGTGTTGTTAAATGAAAAAAGCAGGTTATGGAGTGAAGGGTGGTGAATAATTCTGTTCAAAAAATAGGGATAGAGCCACCCTTAAAATCCATTTATCGGTCCCTTATAAAACTAACCTCAGCAATTGTACCCCTGGGCATTTATCCCAGAGAAATGAAAATGTCAGGTTCACCCCAAAACGTGTACGTGAATGTTCATAGCAACATTCTTAGAAATAGCTGAACATCACAGGCAGAATCACTAGTAACAATCAGATGTCACAAACTGTGGTACATCCGTGCTGCGCAATATTGCTGCTCAATGAAAAGAAACACACCGTGGGGGCACCTGGTAGCTCAGTTGGTTAAGCATCTGACTTTTGATTTCGGCTCAGGTCATGATCTCACGGTTCGTGAGTTCGATCCCCGCGTCGGGCTCTGTGCTGGCAGCTCAGAGCCTGGAGCCTGCTTTGGATTCTGTGTCTCCCTCTTTCTCTGTGTCTCCCCCCCCCCCATTCATGCTCTGTCTCTCTCCCTCAAAAATAAACATTAAAAAAAATTTTTTTAATAAAAAAAATGGGGGAGACCCCTGGGTGGCTCACCCAGTGAAGCATCTGACTCTTGGTTTCGGCTCAGGTCGTGATTTCACAGTTGGTGAGGAGGAGCCCCCCGGCTCTGTGCTGAGAGGGAGAAGCCTGCTTGAGACTCTCCCTCTCTCTCTGCCCCTCCCCCTCTCACTTGCACACTCTCTCACAAGCTCGCTCTCTCTCCCTCTCAAAATAAAAAAATAAACTTAGAAAAGCGGGGAGAGCCTCACATACATGTACGCGAGTAGGTGTGCGCACGGGAAGGTGTGGGAAGATACACAGCAGACTGGTTGGCCTCTGGAAAGCGAGTCTGGAAAGAGATGATTTAATTAACCTTTTCGCGTCAGCCTCTCCAGTATTTGACTTGTTCCAACAGGCGTGTGTGTGACTTGGTAAATTTGTTCAGACCCACAAGGTAGCCCCCAAACAGTGGGTGGGGAGAGGGAGAAGGCGTCAAGAGCTCCGCCTGGCCCACAGCCATGCCTGGAAAACCCTTGCTCTGTATTTCCACGAACGTCTTGAATCGGGATCGAGGGGAGAGCGTGACTGGCCCACTCTGGCCTCCGTGTGTCCCGCTTCCCGGCCACCCTGACACCACCAGCCTACCGTCATGCTTTTTCCTGCCCCTCACAGCCTCTCGTGGCTCTCCACCAACCCCAGGCACTCAGGGAAGAGAGCAGGGGCGGGGGGGTGACTTCTGGGTCCAGCACTGGCGAACCTTCCCTGAGCCGTCACCAGGGGCCAAGAATCATCTGAGTGCCTTTCAAGCATTGCCTCTTGCGATTCTCCGAAGAGCCCCAGGAGAGGAAGCCTGTGGTTGTACCCATTCTACAGATGAGGAGATGAGGTCGTTCTTGCTTGGCCTGGCACGGAGAACACCGTCGAAGCGTATCCCACTGGGGGCATCACCGTCCCCTGACCAAACCCGGCCCTCCCACCGATGGCCCTCCAGGCCCGCGGGCCTTCAGGAGGCAGGGGTGTTCACCCGGCACCCCTGCCCTCTGGAGGCGGCAGCTTAAGGAAATCGACAGAGGGGAGCGTCTGGCCTGTTAACCGGCCAACGGGTGGGAGGGCCGTGTCCCCTGAGCGCTCTCAATCGGAAGTATGGAGAGACGGGTGCCAGTCGGGCGCAGGCCCTGCTTCTGACATTGTGCTTCCAACCGGGAGGTCAGGCTGGGCTGCGGGAGGCCAGCAGGACGCTTGGCAACAGCTGCAGAGCAAGAATTGGCCCCAGTTGGAAACAGCCCCAACCCCAGCCACACAGTGTCGTCAAGAGGAGCTCCTGGCCGAAGCGGAGAGGCTGAACCGGGCACGAGGGGGTTGGCCTGCGGGGCGGGGCCTGGCGCCCTGTGTGCCCCGCTCTCCGCCCGTGTCCGCTTCTGTGCTGGGCGCCCCCAGACTGCAGGGGAGCAGCTGCTAGGAGAGCTGGACGATAGCTTCTGGAAGGGACGACCGGCTTCTCCTCCTGCAGTTACGAAAGTACCCAGGACGTCCTGCCTCCCACTCTGTGGAGGCTACTTCTCAGAGTAAGGAAGGGAAACCAGGCAGGGCGGTGGTCCTGGCCTTTCTGGAAGTTTCTCTGGCTGCAGGTTCTCTTCCCTCCATCACCTTGAGTGAGTCAGCTCGGGTCATGATCTCGCGGTTTGTGGGTTCGAGCCCCGCGTTGGGCTCTGTGCGGACAGCTCGGAGCCTGGAGCCTGCTTCGGATTCTGTGTCTCCCTCTCTCTCTGCCCCTCCCCAGTTCTCTCTCTCTCTCTCTCAAAAATAAATAAACATTAAAAAAAATTAAAAAGAGAGAGAAAGGGGAAGGACACAGACACCATGGTGGCAGATTTCATCCCAACTCCCCTGACCCAGACCCATACCTGCCGCCACACGGCCCCCAGCCCCGCCCCCTCTACGGGGCCTTCTGAGTCCAGCCACCAAACTTCCCGCCGCTCCCCAGGCTCTGACCCCAGCCCTGCCTTTTCTCGGCTTCCTCCTCTCCCTGGAAGTCCCCTCCACCTGTTCCCAGGGGCAAATTCTTTGTCATCTCTCAAGATGGCTCTGCAGTCGCCTGGGACAGCATGTCCTGCTTGAGGCCCCTTGTCCCTGCTTGGTGACTGATGGTGTGCCTATCGCTCTTACACACGGTCACACACAGACCACTCTCACCGTTGGGGCACGCCGCCCTCCATCTGGTGCTTCTCTGTGTGCCCATCTCCGCGCCAGACCAGGGATGCCAGAGCGGGGATTTCTCCTCTCTCCGTGCCCAGGGCCCGCACAGAGCCTGGCGCACATGCGGCACGTGGGGCTGGAGTCGATGGATACGTGAGCGCACGGAACACTTAGAACGTTCTTTTCCTCTCGTTGTCTCCAGGGATCTATAAAGGCCACTGCTTCCGGATCAATCACTTCCCAGAGGACAATGATTACGACCACGACAGCTCGGAGTATCTCCTCCGTAAGTGCCAAGCATCTTTCGCTTTCCTTGTATGTGTGGGAGGCAGGGGGGCAGCTGCAGGAAAGACGGGCCCCGTGAGGGCGAAGGGGTGCTGTTCTCTGGATGCTCTTTCTCTCCCTTTCCGATTCAGAATTGTTAGTTTGGAGGATGGACTTATGTCCAACGCTGCCATGGCATGCTGGGTATCCCAGCGGGGTTACTTGGCGCCCAGGCCCATGCCTGGGGAGACTGAGGCCCAGCCAGAGCAGGTGACGGTGTGGGCGCTCTGCTCGCCAGGAATGCTGGTCACGGCGAGCTGCAGAGTCGCTGATTGCTGCCATGGGGCCTGGCGCAAGGAGGTTAAAGACACAGGCCTGCCCAGGCCAAGCGTCCCTAGGGGGCTGTGATACCCCAAGTACATTGCCCTCCCGGCCCTGGACCCGCCCACCCCACTCCCCACGTACCCAACATTCTGTTCTTGAAAAATCAGTCTGGTGGGGAGCCACCGCCTCTGTCCCTGTCCTGTGGTTGAGTTGACCCCCAGGCTGGAAGTCACAGCATATACTGGACAAGGACAAACCCGTCCCACACGGGAAATCCAGATCTCATCCCTGGGCCTGTGAACACCACCCTGGGAGAAAGGATGGGGCCACAGCCGCAGAAGGTGCCTGGAAATGAAAGGACAGCATCCCTTGAAGCCGTTTCCCCCTTTCCCATGAGTCAGAACACGCACACAGCTGCTCACGGCGTCACCCTCGGGGGCCGGGGCCCGGGGCCCGGCTTCATTGATGGAGAATCGACAGCAGCGTCCTCAGAGGGAACGCAATTCACTCCGCACCTGCTTGTGGATCGTTTTCTTCTAAGAGAAAGGATTTGGGTTGTGAGTCGTCTGGTCAAACAGTACAGCGTGTGGTTCCCGTGGAGCCTGGGGAAGTGTCAGGAGGCTCTGGCCAGACCCAGAACCTGAACAAATTTGGCCAGCTCTGCCTCCCTCACCTTCTCTTCTTCCTCCTGCCTCTCCTTCCTTTCTGCTTTCTGGGGCCAACGCTGAAGCAAGCAAATGAGATTCCATAGGGCCACCGCAAATGGCCGTGCGGCTTACGCACACACTCACCTACACTGTGGTATAAACGACACCCTTTGAGTTGTACAGTGCGCGGCCTGCACAGCCATCTGGGGCGACCCCTGGTGCTCAGCCCAGCTGGGATGGTTCATGAGCATCGGCCCAGAGGTCAGATGATATAGCTTTCTGGGGTTCCAGCAGGAAGCAGACGGCATGCTCAGATGCGGTGAACGAAGGGTATCTAGTGAAGGACTATTTACAAAGTGAGGTCAGGGTTAAGGAAAGCTTTCGGGGGGTGGGGAGAGCAGCAGGGCTAGTGGCCACAGGAGCCCTTGCACTCCGGGGCCTGAGCAGGTGAGGAAAGCAGGCATGGGAGCCTGGAGAAGGGAAGCCGGGAGGACAGGGCTGCCCGGCAGGCGCTGGGGCTTTTAGGAGGGAAGGCAGTCACCTCACCTCACCGGAGCCTTCAGGAAGGAGGCTCGGGGAATACTGTTTCCCTGCACGCTCCTCCCAAAGCCAGAGGCAACGGAGCCCAAGTATCCCTTGCATGGTGCATGGTGCGGCCTCCCCGGGGCCCAGGGCAGGACGCAGAAAGTTCGAAGGAGGACCGGGAGGGGCAAGTCAGGGATGTGCAGCACACTCTCCCCTCCAGCTTCTGGCTCCCACTGTCCCCGGATTCCACCTGCGGTGCCCCCGAGGTGGGGGGGGGGGGGGGGGGGGTGTGAGGGCTAGGAGGGGCCCCGCAGCGATTTTCCCAAATCGATAGGGACAGCACAGACGAAAGATCATTTGGGAAGGAAACGCCCGCCTCAAGTGTGCTCTGTGGGGGCCCGGCGGGTTCATTCACAAGCTGCTGATGGAATTGGGGCGGAGGGCAGAGCTAACCCTCCAACAAGGGCGTGTTTTTCCACTCGGGGGCTGGCGGAAAAAGGAGCTGGCCCCGAAACGAGATTCGGAGTACAGGTACCTGTGAGCTTCGGCCAGAGGGAGCAGGCAACGTCCTCGAACTGGGGGCGCCAAGGTCACGGTCACCACGGCCGTCCCCCACAATTCCCAGTATTTGGCCCTCTGGGCCCCAGAGTATTGTGACCCCCAAAATACACAGAAGCACAGGAGACAGAGAGGAGGGGTCATGAGATTTCATTTATTCACCCATTTAACACAAAGTTATTCTTGGGCCTATTACATGCCAGATACTGTGTTAGCCACACATGTCACTGCAGTGGCGGAGCTGCAGTCACTGGATGCTCCAGTGGGTCAGAGAAGGTCGTGGAAGGTTCCATGGTGCTTGCCTGTGGGAGTGGCAGCTTAACCATCCGGGCGAGGGGTATCGACCCTGACAGGTCCAAGGCCGTGCTTCTCACACACCCTGCCTTCCACAATTCGAGAACAAAGTCAACCTTCCGACCATGCATTCTGAAGTCTTCCGGAGAAACCAGGCTTGTGCATTGAGTTCCATCGCTGTCAGAGGGGCTCCCCCCCACCAACCCGGGGGCTCTGGCAGTGCCCCCACTGGTTCGTACATCCACAGGCAGGTGTGGGGTCTGAGCGGTCACCCCACACACAAACACACAGCCTGCCGTGTCTTTTCCACCGGCCCCTCTGGCCCAGGGGGTTCCCACCCATCCCACTCTGGTCCTGGGGTCCCTTTTCCGGGTGCCACACTTCCCATCACGGAGCCGATGTGGGTGCTAAGGCTCGCAGTATTGATGTCAGGGATGCCGGGAGGCCCCTGTGCCTGAGGGTGAGTGAGAAGGAGGTACCAGTGCTCCAGACAAGGCACGGACTCTCTCCAGGGCTTGATTTGGCCTTGAGGCACGGCCCGGACCTCAGTCTTGCTCGTCCCTCAGCTCTGTGCAAGACCCACGCTGCACCATTGTCTACGGCAACCCCAGCTGGCTTCTGCACATCCAGAGCCCTGGGATGAGCCTTTGTGGCAAGGGACAGGCACGCACATGACTGACGTGGGCAGGATGGATGGCTCTGAGCCAGGTCTGGCCTCAGCGACCTTAGAGGCACTGGGCTCCCTTCTCCCCAGCCCCTCTGACCCGTCTGCAGAACGGGGGCATCCAGGGGGAGCCGACCCCGGATTTTCTGGCCAGCATGGCTTTGAGGCATGTTTCCAAAGCCCACGGGAAACCTCCTCCCAGAGCCTGTGGCTGCAAGAAGGCAGAGGAAGGGGGAGGAGATGCTGGAGAGAAGAGCTTTATTTAATGCCCCCAACAAAGCCCCCTCTGTGAAGCGGGGCACACACTGGTGGGCTTACAGGAAAGGAGACAAATAGCGCCTTCAGAGGCTGCAAGGCCACAAACCGGCTCAGCTGGCTCAGGGGTCGGTGCCTGCCAGGGCTCCCCGACTTGCTGTCCCCCGCCGGGGCCGCCAAGGGTCCATGTCACCAGGATTTCTACTGGGCTGGGAGACCTGTAGGCCCATCAGGAAGGCTGAGCTCAGGGCTCCTCCTGAAGCCCCACCTCCCTTCCTCCTGGTCCTTCCAGCCAGATGCTAAGGAAGGGGGACCCATAGCCCCTAAGCCCCTACCAAGTGCAGAAAGTGTATTCTTTTCCTAGGGCCACACGCCGGGTGGCTTAAAACAACGGGAATTTCCTGTGAATTTACTCTCTCTCGGTGCGGAGGCTGGAGTCTTCAATGGGATGCTGGCAGGGCTGGGCTCCCTCCACGGCACCCAGGGGTCTCTTGCGACGCCTGTCAGCTCCCCACCCTCCTTGACGTGGGGCCCCCTCACTCCTAGCTCTGCCTCTGCCTTCACACGACTTCTTCCCTGCCTGTGTCTCTTCCTCTGCTCACAAGAGCACTTGTCATTGGATTTAGGACCCACTCTAATGCAGGATGGTGTCCTCTTGAGATCCTTAATTTAATCACACCTGCAAAAAAACCCTTTTCTAAATAAGGTCTCATTCATAGATACCTGTGATTAGGACTTGGTCATATCTACTGGGCGGAGGGGTGCAATTCAACCCCTACAGGGAGGTATTTAATACTACTCTCCCCAGGTTACGAAACAGGAGACTTGGGGCGCCTGGGTGGCTCAGTCAGTTAAGCGGCCGACTCTTGTGTTCAGCTCAGAGCGTGATCTCACAGGTTGTGAGTTCGAGCCCCACGTCAAGCTCTGTGCTGATAGCGTGGAGCCTGTTCGGAATTCTCGGTCTCTGCCCCTCCCCAGCTCATGCTCTCGCATTCTCTCTCTCTCTCTCTCTCTCTCTCTCCCTCAAAATAAATAAGCAAACTAAAAAAAAAGAGACTGACGTTGTCAGAAGTTAGCCGCCCTGGTCGGTGGCAGAGCAAGTGTGCAAGTCCAGCTTGGCTGGACAGCGAGGTCCACGCACGTCCCACTGTGTTTAGCCACCACACCCCGTCCCGTGACCTCAGGAGGCCCTGGTCTGTCCCCCCTCGGGGTGGGAGGGGACACGACAGCAATGTTGGCAGTGGAGATAAAGGCTGTCACTCAGAAGTATGTGCAATGGCCAGGCCCTGTGCTAAGCCTCTTAATACACACAAAACCCACCAGAGGAGGTGGGTCCCTGCTCCCAGCTGCTTTCCTCAAGAACGTGGGTTTTAGTGTTAAGTGAAGCGGCCTGACAAAATAGCCAGCATGTCCCAGAGCAGACCCAGACCCACCTGATGCCAAAGGCCGCCCTCAGCCACCTGGTCACCATTTCCCAGCCTCCAGAGGCTCCTTAGAGACCTGGCCTCAAGTGGAAAGGGCCCAGTGTAGCTGTGAGGGGTGCTGCTGCCTGAATGGAAGGCAGACCAGCTGCTTTCATGGCTGCTATTGGGGCCCCAGATACCATTGAGGGGCCCCTCCCGGCTGGCAGGGGGAGCCTGGAGCCGCGGGCAGACCCAGGACCCTCGGCCTGACCACGCTGAGTGGGGTCAGGCTGCCCCTCACTGCCAGCTCCCAACCCGCCTGAGGTCTGCTGGGCCTGAGCTGAGGGAACCCTTCAAAGTCAGGGGGCTCCGGCCGACGCCCGAGGTCATTCGCGCTCCAGAAAGGGCGGTCACTCAATCACTTCTGTTTACATGCCCCTCCCGCCCCGCCCAGGTGATCGTATGCGCCAGCCCAGCGTTCTTTCCCATCCTCGTAGCACCATCCTGTTGCTGCTTCATGGCTCTGCATCGGGTGCCGAGAATTTACAGTCATGAAGAACAACATCGTCTCAGCGGGTATCCTTCGCGGTCGCGAGCCGCCCGCTCGCATATGCCGCTACCGGGCGCTGGGTTGGGGCATGGCGGTCGCTGGGTTCGAATTGATCAAAGGTCCGGTGCGGGGGGCTACGCTGGGCGCAGAGCGCTGCTCAACGGCACGAGTTCCTTCTAGCGGCGAACACGCTCTGAACTAGATAGAGGCTGGGGTGCACAACACTGTACATGTACTAAAATGTCATTGAAGTGGCACTTGAAGGCCTATTTGTGCCATGTGGATTTCACATTAATCACAAAAATGTCTGCGTGCACAGTGCCACAAGAAAATTGTAAGCCTGGCTGGCGCCGGGGGCAGGAGGCACCGGAGGGATCCACGGAAGCCAAGACCTGAAGAAGCCGGAGGAGGACAGGGGTGAAAGGGGCAGAACGGGCAAGGTGCACATCAGAGTCACCCCTCTGCACCCAGTGAAGACCCACGGAGCTGCAGACAGTAACACACGCCTCCTAACTGGGAGACTGGCACTCCTCCGGGCCTCGACATGGAGAGACTCAGCTGCCATGCCCGCCACTGCAGACGGCAGTCAGCCGGAAGTGGGTCTGCCAGCTGGCTACGCCGGTGCACGACATGGTGCGTGGAGAACTCGGGTTTTCTCCGCCTGGGCCTCCCGGGGAATCTTTGACGGGGTAGAACTTAGTCGTGGCATCCTGAATTTCCAGGCAGTCTGCAGAGGTCAGATAAACTTGCAACAAGGGACCCTGTCAGGAGAAACAGGATGCCTGACGCCCTAGGCCTCTAGTAAGTAAATTCGAGATAGTTACAGTTCAGTAATTCTTTTCCTAAGTTACACACTCCTTGCACTGCCTTATCGTGTTTTTGCTTTCAAAGCATCCTTTGTCTTACCCTGTCTGGTGAGGCGCACTCCTAGATGGGCCTGGTCTCTGCATCCCAAAGCCGGCCCAGTAGTCCTGCAGGGTGATAATGAGAATCCCAGTAAAGGTGGTGGTTGGTGGCTCAGCTTCCTTTTGAGGGGATGGGAGGGGTTCTCAGGTCCCCACCCCGTCTTGTCCCTCTCCCACGGCTCCCTCGGAGGGAAGCATGGCTCCCAAAGCAGTTAAGGACTGGTTCAAATCTTTCAGCCAGATTCTTATGGTCCTCCTCTCACATTACTTCCGCTTTTGCATCCCTTCCAGGGCAACAGATAATGTGTGAGTGTGTGTTGGGGCTGTATGTGTGTCAAGGGTGTGTGGTGCATGTGTGTGTTGAAGGCACCCCAGTGTCAGGTCTCCCTTCTGGCCACGTCCCCATCCCTTGCTTGTCCCTCCAGAGGCAGAGGTGGAGGAAAGGCCACACCCCATTCCTCTCCTCCTGAGCCCCCAGATTTCTGAAGGTGGGGACCACTAAAGAAGTCCCTGCTGTGAGGTTTGAATCCTGTACCCCTTCCTTTCCCCGAGGAAGGAAAGATTTGCACCAGCTACCACATACTACAGCTGGGTCCCAGGGGTGAGCACAACCATCATCCCAGATTCTGAGGGGGTAGTCAGGAAAAGCCCAGGTGGCTTCCCCTGAAGTCAATGTGGGTGGCAAAGACACAGGTTAGCCTGTTTTGCCGCCGGGCCTAAAGGTGCCCGCTGACCATTTCCCCAGGGGTTTGGCCAGTTACATCCAGATGTCCTGGGTCACTGGAGAAGCTGTGGGACTTCCAGGGGCCCTGGCAGAAGCAGGATTCAAGTGGTAGCTTGGCTCTAACTCACTTATAAGATGAAATGGGCCAAAGACCTAACTACATCCCACCTCTCAGGCTAGCAAGCACCAGCACGCTGATACAATAAATTAGGCTGTTGACCTGCTGGGTCGCATTCTGCGTGTGTGGAGCGGGTGTGGAGCAAGGATGTCCGTGGCAACCTAGCGGAGGGGTCGGAAGCCACCTGACCTTCCATAGCACCTGCTAGATATCCATGCAGTGGTGCTACATGCACTTAGACAGACAGCTCTCCCGTGGCCTGACGTGGGAACCGCTCTGCCAGGTGGACTGTTGAGTGACAAGGCAAGAGGACAAAGAGCATTGTGCAAGGAAAGAAAGAGATGTATGTGTGAGAGAGAGAGAGAGAGCAACAGAGAGGGATGGGGGAGAGAGACTAGATACAACGAGCACATAAGAAAGAAGATAACAGGGGCCTAAGTGGCCCAAATGGTTAAGCCTCCAACTCAGGTCACTTTATCCTCGTCTGTGAGTTCAAGCCCCCTGTTGTCAGTGCAGAGCCCCTCCGATCCTTTGTCCCTCCCATCTCCTCGCCCCCCCCTCCCCCCACTTGCACTTTCCCTCTCTCTCTCTCAAAAATAAATAAGACTTTTTTTTTTTTTTTTTAAAGAAAGAAGATAACAGTAATGGCCTTCAGGAGGGGAACTAGGTAGCCAAGTGCCTGTGTTTTACATCTCATCTGAACTTTTGCTTTATTACCTCAAAACCAATTACTTAAAAGAAAGCTCATAAACTGAATAAAGCACAATACCCATCTCAAGGTATTACCAGCCCCTCCCTCCTCCCGTCCTCATCCAGCTGTGGGTCTAACGTCTGCCTCCCTTTCCCCTCCCTCCCACCCCTCTCCTGCCTCTCTTTCAGGCCTCAGTAACATCATAGGCATCATCGTCTACATCTCCAGCAACACAGGTGACCCAAGCGACAAACGTGATGAAGACAAAAAAAACCATTACAACTACGGTTGGTCTTTTTACTTTGGAGCCCTGTCCTTCATCGTGGCCGAGACCGTGGGTGTCCTGGCCGTAAACATTTACATTGAGAAAAATAAAGAGTTGAGATTTAAGACCAAACGGGAGTTCCTCAAGGCCCCCTCCTCGTCTCCCTACGCCAGGATGCCGAGCTATCGGTACCGGCGACGACGCTCACGGTCCAGCTCGAGGTCCACCGAGGCCTCTCCGTCCAGGGCGGCGTCTCCGGTGGGCCTGAAGATCACTGGGGCCATCCCCATGGGCGAGCTGTCCATGTACACGCTGTCCAGGGAGCCCCTCAAGGTGACCACCGCCGCCAGCTACGGCCCCGACCAGGAGCCCGGCTTCCTGCAGCTGCACGACCTGTTCCAGCAGGACCTACAGGAAGGCTTGCGCGTCAGCGTGCTGAACCGGCGGACGACCCCCGTGTGAGCCACCCCCCTCTCTGCACCGGCCTCTCCCCAGAACAGCTGTTTGGATCCCACAGGAGGGCATCTGACCCTTAGGCTGGACCGACCACGGACTGAAGCCAAAACCCAACCCTCCCTCGTCTCCAGAAAGTGTCACGGGCTGGCTGGGAGCGAAGCGCTGGGAGACGGGAGTTGGAAGCCGAAGGCTGACTTTGTCCCCCAGAGGGGCGTTTTGACGGCCCAGGATTCCGAGATCTCCTGAGGCTGCAAGGCCTTGACCAACCTGGGAAAACAAAATCGAGCCATTGTCTCCTCTTGGAAATAATTCTTGCCGGAAGAACGGGCTTTCAGAGCCCTCCCTCTCTGCCTGGATGAGGGGGCCACCGGGAGGGATTCACCGGGTACACGGGGACCTTTGGACACTGGTCAGGTGCCGTTTGACCTGAGGTTCTGGGTCTGTGAGCGGGAAACAAGGAAGCCGAAACTTGCCCCCTTCCTGTCTGTTTCTTGCTCTCTCTCTCTCTCTTTCTCTCTGGCAGTGGCCGGGTGTTGAAATAACAGTGATCCTGAGGAGAAAGCCCCTGTGGCCAACTGGTGCTTTGGCCTTTGTGCTATCCTGGGGCCGGCTTCCCTCGACCTGAGGAGAGCAAGGCCTGTGGAAGAATCCGCAGTGGAGGAGGCCATTCGCTGGCCTGGGTGTGAGGTAAACCCAGAGTCTGTGGCTTGGCATTCTGGTCTGCTTCTAGAAGTTTCTGCCGAACACAGAAAGGGCAGGACGCTCTGACTGTACTTGAGAGTCTGGAAGATTCCACGGGTCTGAAGGAAGGTGCCCATATGGCCTCTTGCCGTGTCCCTCCCCACGGATCCTCCTCAGAGCAGCTCTGTCCCTTCTTGGGGAGCGGAGGGGGCAGACCCCCCCCCCCCCACCGGCGTTTGGCAACAGGAGCCTGAACTTCTGTTCGAGAAAGGGAGACCCGAGGGTGAACAGCGGCCAACACATCAGAACAAACATCCGTTTCCTAAGTGGTTATTGATCGTGACTGGTTGCAAATGAAGGCCAGGGGAGCAAGTGACACTCGGTTCTTCGTCCAGACAACGGCAGCAGCAGCCCCTCCCCCACACCCACTCTTGTCATTTATTCTGCCACCACCCGAAGGGCTCAGCCGAGGGAGTTCGGGCAGTTTGGATGAAAAGGCCGAGCTGTGTTTTCCTTCCTCCTCGCGGGAGGGACATCTCGGCACTCTGGAACCGAGGCGGCGGTTCCGCGTTGGACGTTTTCTTCCAACCACAACCATCTCTTCCCATCCCGAGGCAAGCGGAGAAGGCAGACGCGAGTGTGGGTTCAGAAGACAACCTTTCTGGAACAGGGAGCTCACCCTCTTTTATATAAAACACGTGCTTTCTAAAGACAAATCCTTTCTTACTTTTTGAGACTTGGTCGTCCGATCTCGAGCGGTCGCCTGTGGTCCCGGTAGCTGTCATCCTGAGAAGTGACCAGCGAATTCTTACCTCAGCCACCTGCTCGCCGACCCCCTGGGCGGACTCAGCCCCCAGGAGTTGAGATCTGGGTCACGGTCATCGCCATCCTCCTTCACCCCCCGAGAGGAAATCTCCCCGGGGACCCCTCGCCTGACTGCCCCGGAGCGCTGGCCAGCCGAGGCGCAGTGTGCTGGGGACCCTCCGCGCTTGCCCGAAACCCCCTTCCTCCCGTTGAGGTTGGCTTTGTGTGGTGGTTTGTCCAAGCATGTGCAGCCGTGAATGCTGGAGCGTCAGGGCTCGTGGCCTGCCCTGCTGGGGGCCAACCCCGTCCCGTCCTGCCCCCAACCCGACCGCCCTTGGTGCCCCACCCCCCCCATCTGTGACCCCATCTTCCCGGGCTCGAAGGAAAGGGGGCAACATCTGGGAACCCATCACCCCGCCAGGTCCCCAGACTGTTCTGTCACTTCCCAAAGCAAGGCAGCCGTGCTGTTTCTTCCACATAAGTCACCTCCTCCCCTGCTGCCCCGGAAGTTTCTGTCATTTCATGCAGAAAGCTGTGTTCCCATGAATCCTACCTCTCGCCCAGTCCCAGGCAGAGAATGCGGGGCCCACTCTAGGGACCAAGAAAGAGTAGAAAGAAGCAACAAAGAAGGACAGAAGGGCAGGGAGCAGAACCACCTCAGAGCCCCTGGTCTTCACAGCCTTTCTCCCCACCATGCCCGGGCTCCCGGACCCTCTGCCCGGGGCCACCCTTCTGCGCACCGCCCCCCAGCCAGGGGCGCCTGGGGAAGTGGGCGGAGCTGGCTCCCTGCCACCTGTCAGGCTGAGACCTTGCGTCCCCAGAGGGGGGCGCAGGGGCCTGTGCCCACCTCCTCCCATCCCACCACCCTCTCCAACCAGCCCCTGTGTGTTTCGCCCGTTAAGCACCTGTGAATCCTGTTACCTACTACTGGTTTTGGGTTGTTAGTTCTGTCTTTTTTTTAATTAAATAAAAACCTTTTTGAAATGTTCTCTTCTTGATGTGGGGGGAAGGGGTTGAGCTCCCTTTGAGTCTTTGTGGGCACTCAGGGCAAACAGTGTCCCTCCTGGGGGACACTGTGGACCCTCCAGGAGAAGAAGGAGGGAGGCTGGGCCCTGTGCCGGGCAAGGTGGGTTTCTCGGGCTTTCATCCAGGTCACCAGCCACCTCCCTGGCAACACCAGCTGGTTTCAGACTGCTGAGTGGTATCATCAAGGTGCCTTTTAACAGATGGGCTGGGAGATAGACGGGCCACCCCTGCGTGTGGTGTGGGCATCTGGGCAGCTGAGCAAGCCAGACCCGTCTTCAGAACCTGCCGGGCGGGGGCCAGCCAGCCAGAACCGCAGCCTCGGAGGCCCTAAGTTGCCTGCCAGGGTTTCTAAGAAGTCCAGCCTCCTTTCCCCCTCCAACTTCGGAAATGATTAAAAAACAAAGGAGGCCAAGTAGCAAAATGACTGGTAAAGCTGGCTCCAACCAGAGGCCAAAAGGGACCAAGCCGTCTAATCTCAGGCCCAGCCGCCTGAGTCGGAGAGAGGGACCGGATGGCCCCTCGGAGCAGGGCAATACTGACACGCTGCGACAGGCCCCCGCGGGTCACAGGGGATGCCCGCTGTAACCCAGCAGGTTCACCCCTGCAGGTGGGCACGGGCTGGATGTCAACTCTATGCTCTTGGGAGGCATGACAAGGGGAGGACTGCTGTCCTCCCCCACTTCTACCCGAGCTACCGTCCAGGGGACATGTGCATTCAATTACACATCCCCCTTTCTTTCGGGACCCAGACCTCGAGTTTTCCTCCTGAGACTCAGGGGCTCTGCTGCTCCTCCTGGAGCCTGGAGGCACCAAACTCTGAACACCCAGAAGGTCTTTCCTGGTCCCGGCAAAGGGAGGCCGAGTGAGCCACGTCCCCGCTCTGGCGGCTGCAGGAACCACTCCCCGCACGCCTGAACTTTCTCCCCTGGCTTTTTAACCCTCTTTCCTACTACCTGAGATGGGTCTGTGGGGAAAGTGATGTCCCAGATGCGCTGAGCCACCAGGTCCCAGGGCCCGGCGAGCTCAGCTCCACAGCCCCACCCACTGACCCCCTGCTCCAGCCCGAGCCGTTGCCACCCAGCACCAGCCCCGCGTGCCAGACGGACTCTGCCTCCTGTTTGTTCTCAGCCCTCAGGAAACTCTGGCTCAGCACAAGCTTTGCAGCCGTTCTGGGGGGGATCCCGTGGCAGTCTGAATTTAGGGGCAGGGTACGGCTTCCAACGTGGGGTTCACGTGGTCCCGAATTTCCATCAAATAAAAAACTCGGTCTCCCTAGTTTGCAGAGTTAGATCCACAAGAAGTGACACAGAACCGGATGTTATCATTCCCTAACCAAAATGCTCCCCCCCCCCAGCCCCGCTCCGGCCCGGGAGCCCCCATCCTTGCCTTCACTTACGCTACTCAGAGTAGGCGAACGGCATTACCAGCAACGCCCAGTCCTAGAGTGGCTTAATGCAACGGAAGTTTACTTCTCACTCATGTAAAGTCCAATCGACTGGGTGCGGGGGCGGGGAGGGGGGGTGGCGGGGGGTCCTGTGCTCCACAGCGTCATTCAGAGTTACAGGCCCGAGCCGTGGGAGCTCATTCATTTTCAATATCGGCTGCCAAGGTTGCCCTGGCATTGACATCCAGGGGGCCGAGGGGGAAGACAGAGGGCAGACAATTGATCATGAGAGTAGGGGAGTCTTGTGGGGAGTTTTAAGTGACTTTCCCTCCTGCTCATATGCCGTTGGCCAGAATCCAATAACACGGTCACATCTCTAAGAGCCGGGGAAGATACGAAATGTGGCCTGGCCCAGGAGGAAAGGAAAACAGTTTAGGGAACAGCTGGCCAGTCTCAGTTCCCTGGTCTATGCCTTTCAGCACCGTCCTCTTTTCCCTCCCCCATCACCCACCAATGTTCTCGGGAGTGCCTACGTGAAACCGGGACTCTGTCTGGGACTGCATCTACCTGTGTGGCCTGAGCCCTCCTTCAGCTCTGGCGGGATGCCTGGCCTCTTCTCTGCTCCGGATGCGCCATCGGCAAAACGCGTCTACGCTCCCTTCTCTGTGGACTTGGAAGAACGGGCTTGAGCTTGTGCCTTGACCCCAACAAGAACCAGAATCACTGGACATCGTGACCAGCAGGAGTGGTAGGTGCCGTAAGAATCATCCCATTTGATGGACTCATCCTTGAAGAGGGATAAGCCAAAAGAGGGAGGAAGGGATTAAGGAAGAATAAAAAGAAGGGAGGAAATATTTTTTGAGGATGTTCACAGCAATCATGAAAGGGAGATGCCACTAGCCCAGGGGCGATTTTGCTCTCCAAGGGCCACTTGCCAAGGTCTAGAGACATTTTTGGTTGTCACACTCGGAAGGGGGTTGCTCTTGGCATCTAGCGGGTGGAGGCTAGGGATGCTGCCGAACATACTCCACCCGCCAAGAACGATCTGGCCCCAAATGTCACTAATGCCGAGGCTGAAAAACCATGCATTGGCCTGATTTTACGGTGAGGG